GGCCAGTGTAGTGTCCTGATCCTCTCCCTTCGAAGATACTCCTTCACCTGAAGCAATGAAATAAAACCCAAGATGTCTTTTCAATACATGTAGAGCGAAATTTACTCTTTACTCCACGTCTACTGCATAAAGCGCATGAATATAACCAACCTTTTTAGCCCTGTGGCATTGAACAGCGTAATTCTGGGATGTGCACTGGTAAGCTCCACCGAAGTGATCCCAAACTGGTGGCTTTAACTGGGGCTCGAGGATATCGATGTTCTTTTCGGTATTCACAATGCCTTTCAAAAAACACAGGCGCCCCACACCATGGCCTAAGATGTATCTCTATATCACCTGATGCTGCAAATGCTTCACAGTTGCATTCAAACATGCTGGATCAAACTCTTCTCTACATCGACCTCTAAATAATGCTTCCCATTAGACCCATACAGGTTCAACTTTGTTTTGTCTGATAAAATCTTTTTGCTCCACATTGCTTCAGTCCAGTCAGAATGCTCAGTTGGGCCTAATCTTCTTTATCTTGTTAATGAGGAGAGTTTTCTTTCATGGCCAATTTACTGGGAGACTGGCTGAACACAAGTGAGACCAGATGGTATGCATGGTGACAGTGACCCCTGAATGTTTCCTGCTATGCTGTTTTAAGATATATGGACAACAGCCGACGATTGTGCATGCTTATGTATTTAAGAACACAATCCTCAGCTGCTTTATTCCTACTCCTTCCCCAACCCTTAGCTGTGGTAGCTATATGCTTAAGAAGAAAAGTCCAAAATGAAACATGGGAAAATCTTAGGTGCCATATTATTGAGGTCAAGTTTACTACTAATATCACTGCAACTGTGAGAGGACAAAAGCAATCGAGAAAAATAATTATCTTACACTTGAACTATAGATGCAAGAGTTAAAATATCTGATTGAAAAACCAATATGAATAATAATAAATCCTAAAGTTTAAGCTCATATAAAAATAAATTTGATGCTATAGAGTTTAGTAAATTAGGCCTTAATTGATGTTTTTGCCTTTGACTGAGTCTGAGTTAGACGAAAGAAAATTGACACATGTTTGCACATAGTCACTATCTTTATTCACGACACAAAGGATACAATCCACAAGTATAAATGACATTTATTAGAGAGAGAGAGATGAAATACAAGTTCTAAAAAGTTAAAAGCTCGATTACCTTATAAATTAGAGTCAAGGTTCTTCAAAAATCATAATCTTTAATTTTTATCAAGTCATTGAAAACCTCTAGAAAAACTGTCGAGAAACTCTTTAAATTACTTCTCACATCATCCATTCTAAAGCTAATCCCGAATTTGCCTGGATGTAGGTGAATGAATTCTGTAAATAATCTGGCCTTATATACACAAACAAAACAAAGACCATCGAAATGGTGTATTTAAGTGTTTAACACTCACAAAAAAGAAACCTATCATTCTACAGGTATTTGAAAAACTTGCATGTTTTAAATTCAAAAACAAAGACCAGGCTGCTTAGTGTGTACACGTCATCCACGTGACTGAATATCACTCTCGCTTCCGTGAAAGGTAGGATTATGACCTTGGAAGATCATCTAACTCGCCAGGAGAAATGATCACTGACTATTTTGGACGTGTAAATTTACAGATATCCTTTTTGTAAAAAAGTAGGTTTACTGACCCAGTTCTGTGTATTCCCTTGACCAACTTTCTACATCAGGAGCTAAACAATAACATAAGAACTTTAAAAAATTCTACATCTTAAAGTAAGGGGATGGGAAACGAATGACATGCCTGCATATCACAAAAGTATATCTTAATATTTTACTTGTTTGCTTATTAAGCTTTCAATAAAACTTATGGTTGCTTCAAATATCTTTAAATGTATCAGTATCAACTCCAAAATAAATATATTTCCCATTAAATACTGACTTTTTACATAACACATATGTACTTCTGTAAAGAAGGTTAGAGTAGCGCCTGTGTAATTTAAAAAACGAACTTCGTGAAGGAGAAATGATGCGACCTTAATAGCGAGAGGTCCTGTTTTCAAGAACATTGAAAAAATATTAGTTTCTTGTCTAAAACAAAATACATATCTGTTACTTTTATACAAGAAACTAATATTTTGTCATTGTATATAATCACTGGTAGATATACAAGACTGTTTGGTGTAAGTGTTGTTATTTGGTTTATTTTGCGACTTAATATTTAATGATCGTTTAGTTTTCATGACAGCAGTGTGGAAGACTGATTGCTTTAAAAGTGTTAATTGTGACAGATTTTTATTATGTAACTCTGTACAAGTCGTACTTTGTGTTTGTAATTACACTGTTGTCTAGGCTCTACTGATATTGTTGACGTCATATTACTCGAACCTTCGATATTTTTCTCGTTACCTTAATCAAATGAGTATTGTTACCTCACTGAATCCCCTCAGAAAATATTAAATTGTGAATAAAACATAGAAGTTTAGGGTATCAATGCAGACAAAAACGTGAATGAAAAGTTCAAATGAGCTAAAATTTTTCACTAAACAGTGGCGTAGGAAGCGGGGTGACACACCCCTACCTTTTCAATGTGTTCCAGAAAAATGCATCAGAATTAGAAAAATTACTTTCAGGAATAGCAGGAGAATGCATAAAATTTAATCCAGAATGCAAGAGCTTCCAGGGACGTAATGGTTGTGTCTGTGGTGCACATTCCCTCTCTTCGCTTGATCAAATAAACTTGTCCTCCACTATTAATTTTCCTCTTACACTTTTGCTAAACTAATAAAATCGTAAAAAACAATGTTAAAATTACTTATCAGAGTGTGATTGGAGAGATTGTCTGACCTTTTCAGAGTAGTTACTGACATTACAAACCATATAACATACAGTACTGTGCACTAAAACGTAAGAGCAAAGTTTTCACTCCATCGTTTTATTTTATTTTATTTTTTCGGTTCGCGGTGATCGAAACTCTAGCAATCTCGTAGATTAAAACACCTGAAGACGAATACTGAAGTGTATGAATTAAAAAGTAATGTCGGGATGGGGTGGGGGCTTCTGTGTTGGTCCTTAGTACACATATTTATTACTTACGTTATGACCATGTATCAATATCTGAAAATGTGATCCTCTTAAGTTTTTGAAAGTTCAACAATCGACAATATATGTGCTTTTCAATTTTTGCTTTTAATTAGTGTCCCCTTCATTCTGATGTCTTGGTGGTTAGACCTCTCCAATTACAATCTGGAAGTAACCGTTTCAAACCCAATTACTGAATATGCTTGCCCTTTCAGCCGACGCGAGGGGGGGGGGTTGTGATGTAAAAAAAAAATGCTTATCGTGCAGAC